CCATATTTGTCTAGTAAACTAGTAGCGAAAAAATAGATGATCGCTTGTTTTTGCTCTTACTTTGCACAACAAGTAAGTATCATAAAATACTAAGAGTCTATTTCCTCTAACTGCTTCTTTTTTTCTTTTTTTTTTTTTGAAAAGCAAATGAATTTTATTATGAGTACAAAGGGTACTCAAACCCTTAAATATCAGTACATGAAATTATATGTAGTCAATGTGATTAAGACAAAATCATCCACCATTCCAAAAACCAGACCCATGAAACCAATACTCCCATCAAGTCTCTATATCCTATTTGTCAAGCATCTCACTGGATTAGAAATCCATTCCATGTAGGAGAAATTTTCCAAATTCAACAGATTTCTAACCCAGTGAAATGAGCGTGCTTGAACTAGTTCAAATAGCCTATCCTCATTTAACTTCTTATGTTGGAAAACAGTTTCATTTCTGCTTAACCATAATGACCAAACTACAGTAAACCATAACATGCCCCATCCTTTTTTTAAGCTTTTTGACCCCCTGTGCCATCTATGTTGGGTGAATACATCAATACAAGTGTTTCCTAAGACATAATATAATCCCCACCAATTAAGGCATTTTGTCCACAAATTATAGGAGGTGCTGCAAGCTAGAAAAAGATGTTCTGTATCTTCAGGAAGTTGATCACACCAAAAGCATTTTATATTTTGAGTAGCATCCAAAATTCCACGCTTTGCTAAATTAACCTTTGTAGGAATTCTATCTAAGAGTAGTTGCCATGAGAAAGCACTCACTTTTGGTGGGACTTGCGCCTCCCATATTTTTGTGTACTCTAGCAGCCTATTCTCTTCTTTTTTTGCTAGCTGCACATAGGCTGTCCTTGTGGTATATCTTCCCCCGGTCTCTAGGCTCCAGCACCAAGTGTCCGTTGCGCCTTGCACTAGTTTTTTGTGTTTTATTGTCTCCAGCAATTGTTGCAAATTTTCCTCTTCCCAAGCTCTAAGTGGTCTTCTCCACTTGAATTTCCAGTCCCAGCTTCTGTCATTCCAATGTCCCATTTGATTGATGTTGCAATTCTTTTCTATAGCCAACAAAAACAGCCTTGGAAAAACATTAGCCAAAGAGGTCCCTCCCACCCATGTGTCTAGCCAGAATCTAACAATTTTCGCTTCTCCCAAATTAATTTTGAAGTTCAGAAGCAACCACCCATCTTTGCTATCTACACCCGTATTTAATTTACAAATATCATTCCACCATGATGATCCTAAGACTCTTTCCTCACTCAACCATGATAACCAATTTCCATCCTTGCTGCCATATTTTTCTAACAGCACCCTCGCCCAAAGGCCCTTCTCTCCCCCTATTAATCTCGCCCACCATTTGCCTAGCAAGGCTATATTAAACCATCTAAGGTTTTTTACCCCAGCCCTCCCTCTTTTTTTGTGCTGCACACCCTGTCCCAAGATACCCAAGCTATCTTTTTGCCTCCCTCAACCCCTCCCCACAGAAAATTCTTCCTAATTTTATCAAGTTCACGGATTACCTGTTTTGGGAGCAGATATACCGACATCAAGAACACTGGTAGGCTGGATAGCACAGCGTTTATGAGGGTAATTCGTCCACCGAGCGATAAGAATCTTCCTTTCCAGACTGAGAGCTTTCTTCTGAATGAGTCTATTAGAGGTCTCTAGGTGGTTATTCTCTTTGGATTTGCCCCCAATGGCATGCCGAGATATTTACAAGGGAGGGATCCTCTAACTGCTTCGTTGATAACTTGTTTAAGAGTGCTACCCAACAAATGAAACTATGCTTTGGGATTGCATGAGAAAACCATACTAATTTATGCCATGGTATCTTTGCCTACACTTCACATAAGGAATGC